CTAGAGGACTGTGTTCAGATTGTGGACTGAGCAGGTTATGTTGTCAGATGGATGTTGTCTCCCAGGTTATTTTCATTTATATCTTGTTTTGTCCATCTTTGTGCAGCTCTTCACCGGAACTCTTCTTGTGAAAGGCTGTTGCAAGAAGTGCTGTTATTGCTTGGCCTGAGATGCAATAGAAGAGGTTCTGAGGAATACAGGCGAGGAGATCTTTACCACAAAAATTTCTGTTTGCAAGAAATAGTATCTTAGTCCTGTCTGAAAGAGCAGAGACTGAACAATTGCATGCATACACTGAAATTTCAGGACATAAACCTTCATATGCATTATTTCAGGTTTATACTTGGTTCAAGACTTTCATTTTTATAGTCTGTCTGAATAATAATTTATTTCCTTGTTGTCATCTGCCCAGGTTGGTGGAAAACACTTAATAATCCAAGAAAGATCGGAGCACTGCTTGTATATGGTCCTGCCTTTTTCAGTCTGGCACACAGTTTACATAAAATGCTTGAGTGTAACATCATAGCTAGAAGGTTAGCTGATCAGGAATAGACTTTATTAGCAAGTTCTGAAATGTTTGCCCTGCTTTTTCTGTGACCACCTGGGCCCGGAGGTAACTACAAAATACGGATTTTTGGTCTATTGTTGTTAGTAGTTCGCAGGAACTAGGAAATGTTCTTTGATAGCAATAACTTACATCAGAACAGGTTTGAGACTTGTGACTAAAGGCGGTGATGCCAAACCCAGCTAGAGCAGTTCTCGCTTCATTAGTCTTTTTGTCTTCTTGTAGTTATGTATTTCTGCTTGTCAGATTGGCAAGCATGTATAGTTAGGAACATATCATTGTACTACTCTGGAATGTTATCTGGGCAAGCCTGTACTCTCCTTTGGCATTGCAGCGTTGACAAGATTGCTACAGTCTGACAGTTCCCAAGTGCTCTGTTAGAAGATTATTCTGATAATAGATCTGTTCCTTTCCAGGTAGAATGCCATGTTTACAGTTTCTGTTGAAAAGCTGACATTGACTGGGTTATTTGGTAGATGCCACTTATCTTCAATATAATCATTAGTGGAATTCAAAGAACATTATGACCAGTAGAACTGCAAGACAAGACTAGTCCTTGACTTACAGTTTTGCTTTGATAATGACAGCTCAAGCAGAAGGACTTATAATATACTTAGTTGACCTAATCATGCTCTTGAGCAGCCTAGACATTGCATAGGATCAGGAACAAGTATATCCTTTACGACTGTACATTGCTGTAGTCTGGATGTCACAAGTTCTGCTGTACAGTTTATATAGTAATTTTCAGTCTTCTGTCCAGGATTATCGGTGGTTTTTTAAAAGCCTGATACATTCCTGTCGTCATAAAAGCTATTCCAATAAAAAGGGCTATTGAGCTGACCCCATTCTGGTGTGTTTTACCTCGCTTTATGGTATATCCTACATGGAGGACAAACAGTTGATGGCTTGAGAAAAGCAGAAGTCTTAATTGTATTTGGCCAATGGGGAGCATAGTTACTTTCATAACAATAACTAATGGAATAAATAAGTCTGTTGTTATGTGATGCAACTTACTGGCACTCAAAGCTTATCCTACCAGAGCCCAAACAATATCATCTGTCCATGTAAAGTTATTGCAGTATCCCAAATGTGCAAGTAATCCAGTCGATTATCTAGAATATTTTGCATCTGATTTGCCTGCTAGATCTGATAATGTGTTGTAGAATGGTATTGCAAGAGGTAATGCAGTAGTACAGCTGTGATTTCTTATTTCCGCCATCCTGAAGAGACTGCAATTTGCCAGACTCTGTATTCCATCAAGTCTTCAAAAAGAGTATGCTTAACTTACCGGACAGTGACTCTAACCCCTGAGGACTTTTATCATCTTTAGGAATCCTACCACCCGCTGCCCAAACCTGTTTTGGATTTTTTGGCTAGCAGAGGCTTTCAGATGTGGGGAGAACTGGGTGGAGCTGGAGTCATTCTTCCTTTTATGCAGTATGGGGTTACTAGGATTTGTGCAGCATATGCAGAGCTCCAGCAGCTACTGCTGTTTAAAAGACTTCTGAGTTCATGTATGTGAAAGCATCTCTGTGCCCTCTGCAAGTTCTGTAATGACTGCGGTGTTGTAAGGGAAGTATCCGTTGTTTATGAACTGAGTTTCACTAGTGTAAATACTGTTTTGAGTTAATGAGATATGATTTTTTCTGGCTAGTACGTATTTTACTAACTTTTAGTGTTTATGATGTTATTGAAAATCAGGTTGTATACAACTATTTACTGTAAAACGTATCAGTCATGGTATTGTGGATAAGCATGTCTTTTTTTTCAAGTAAAATGGTAAAATTATTTCTTGAAATGCGTTAGTATTGCAGACCTGTTCAACCTGTTACACAAATATTGATTCCTAATATTCTTAAAACTTCCGAGGTAAATGCCTTGCATTATTTTTCATCTTGGATTTTGCAAAACTGGAAATGGAAGGGATTAAAGGACTGTCTCAGGATTTGGGAAGCTTTGCTTTTGTATCTGGGTTTCAAGCTGAGTATTCCCCACTTGGATAAATACATGTTCTTGTTATAAGTTGTCTTTTATCTAATATGGACCCAATTTTTACATCTCAAATGAGAGCATTTGCATTTCAGGGAAGCAGCTATTTTATTCTTCCTTTCTCTGTGTGTTAAAGGATGCCTTTTGCACAGCATCTCTTTTGCTAAATCTGCTTATTTCCCACATTAGATACTTAGTGGGAGAGTCAGTGATATGTGGAGGAGGAGAGGAAGTAACAGAATTGACGTATTCATGTGAGAAAGTACTTCTGATGTAAGAGCAGTGGGCCATGTGCTCCCACACACACGCACAGAGGCTAAGTAGAAAAAGCTGACCAGATTTTTAGGTTAACTGGATGCTAGCTGTTTACCAGTAATTTTTGGATATGTTACTTTAACAAAAGAAATTTAGCTATGAGTCCTTTTGGGCACTTGTAATAATAAGTTGTTTCAGGGAAGTTAGAGCAAGAAGACTTTGACTGTTTTGAGAAATATGTCTCAATCCAAGTTTGTATTCTGTTGTATTTCATGAAAACCCTTTCTACTTGCTGTTGCGTCATCAGTGGGTATTTTTGAGCATCATTTTGTCAGCAGAAAGTTGTTTTTCTGGAAACAACCATTAAGGAGTCATGTGCTAGTCTGCACTGGATTCTATGGGCAAAGCCAGTGACCGTTAATGAGCTCTGTCTGTCAGCCAGGAAAGCAATAGGGAATGGAAAATACCAGTATAAAAAGAGAACTAGGAAAAAAAGAGGCAGACTGCTTTTTAGAGCTATGCTTTCTAAACCTAAAAAACATTGGTTTAAAACACAATTTAAATACTGAGAACTTAGGGCTTCACTTTTTTTCCCCCAAGGACAATGTCTGAAACTTGGTAAAGTCATGGAAGCAAAAGGTACTCAAAGATGGAATCACGTGTAGGTGTTTGGGAGGTGCAGGAGGATTTCTATGAATCTGACATGCTGCTTAAAATTAATGTATGTACATGGATGTTTGAGTGATTCCTTTACAGATAATTTGTATTTACTTCAGTTTCCAAAAGGTCCATCTGTAAGATGGCAAAACAGAGATGGAGAGGCAATGCATGAAGTGTACGCTAATGGAATTCGAGAAGCCTCAGGAAAACTCCCTCAGGCCACAGTGTTTTCTTTCTCCTGTTTTCAGTTCATCATTCCTCTTTTCCATGTTCCTTTCCCTTTTTGCCTCTAAAAAAAGTTCCTTTTCGCCAAAAGTCATATGCATGCAGTGAAAGGAAGAAAGATGGGTTGGGTTAAGTATAGTTTCATGTTCGAGTACGCTGTATGTGTGTGATGCAAGTGAGCTGGCTAGATAGATGCAAATGCCTTTCCTTCCTTACACTCTTTAGTGTCTCATGCACTTTCAAGGTAAGTTAATCCAGAGAAATGCTATGTCTAGGCTGTGAACTTACTGTAGAAAAGGAGAACGTGAAGCTAAAGAGGCTTGGGAACTTCCAAGATAGGCTGCTTGTGAAAAAATTTGGAAGGTTTAGTCTCTGAGTCAAGGGCAGTTTTACTGTAGAGGCTCACCTCCCAAAGAGGTGTTGGAAATGATCAACTGTATTCCTGAAAACTGTAAAAATAGGGATTTTTTTACTACAGAAAATATCTACTGCTCAGACCTAGTTAGGCTTGCAAGTGCACATTATCGCAGCGTGGGCTTCATAACTGGTAATAAAGTTGTTTCTGTAGGTTTGTAATACCTGCTGGTCTTTTCCGTTCCAGTGGAGAATGATTGAGATACTTAAAAGGAAATGTAAGAAAGCTTTTGGTGGTTCTTTTCTTTAAACGAACCTCCAGAAAGAACACTTCCTCCTGATTCTCAGTTGTTACTTGACTTCAAAGTTATCTATCAGTATTATTAAAAAATGTAGTTGTTTTTGAAGGTTTACTAAAGCAAGATCACTTACTCCTGTTACCCACTTAAACTCCTTTTGCAATTCTGCCATGCTCATGGCTTCGGCATTTTGCTACAAAGGTTTGGTGGAGGAGTATATCATATGATTTATGTTTTCCTTATTCATTGAATTATTATTAATATCTACATTATAAGATACTTGCATTCATGTGGGCTTTACAGGATGCAATTTAAAGCTTGTGAATTTTTATTGTCAGCAGTTCAAACCATTGTGCTTTCTTCATGTTGTATCCTGTTTTCCATTTGGTTACTCAAGCATTCTAAGAAACCTGATCTTGTTTCTTATGTGCAGGTTTTGGAATAGAAGTTTTATACCTATGTGGCAAAGCCAGGAGTACGAGAGTAACACTAATGTTGGTACATCATAAATCTTAAAATTTGCATTTGGAGCCTCAAATCTCACTCCTGACAAGCTAACAATTCTAATGATCGGTCATAGAAATAATGCATTGTAACAATCTCATTGTTTGCTTTTTAGTCTATTTTTAAAATAATGATTTCTGTTGCTTTCTAGCTTAACAAATGGCAGCACAGTGTGTGACAAAGGTGGAGCTGACTATTGCCTGCACCAATCTCTTGGATAAAGACGTTGGTTCCAAGTCAGACCCACTGTGTGTGCTTCTCCAGAACACAAGTGGTCAGCAGTGGTATGAGGTACAGTGTGATGCCCCTCATGAATCTACTAAAAACACAGTCTAACTTGTTGGACCTTTTAAAACACTGGAGCGCATGATTTCATTAAAATATTTTAATTATATAATGGCATCTCTGAATACTTTTCATTAGGTTATGTCTAGAACAATTATACAGGCAACTCACTCATAATAATTTTCTAATTAATACTTCCACCTGTCTGATTTTTAGCACTGTTCCCCCAGCCATGTGTGAACCAACAGAAGAAGCCTTTTAAGTGCTTAAATGTACTTTTATAAATACAGTACATGAAAACTAGGGTCTCATCCTGGATTTGACAGTATACCATTTGTATGTTGGTCTTCCCTATGCAGGGATAGATACTCTGTACAGGGAGCAAATCAAAACAGGTCCTCAAATATCTCTGACTTACAGCGGTGGGTTTTGTAATATAATATGGTTATTTATATTTGATAAAAGGTTTGTAGGAAGATACGGCTTTATACTTTATAGTAAGAAGAACTTTTGAAAGTCTTTAATAATACGTTATTTGATTTCAGTGCTTGTTTGGTTGGTGAAATACTGGATAAAGTGTATCTTTCTAACTGCAGGTTGATCGCACAGAAAGAGTTAAGAATTCCTTAAACCCAAAGTTTGCCAAGAAATTCCTAATTGATTACTATTTTGAGCTTGTTCAGAAACTTAAATTTGGAATATATGACATCGATAATAAAACCTTTGATCTGAATGATGATGACTTCTTAGGAGAATTTGAATGTACATTGGGACAAGTAAGTATGCAGATGATTTACCTTAGAATTAAGAAATATAAGTTACTGCAAATGATTAACCACTTTTACCTTAAATTTGTCACTATGTTCTTGTGTAGTTGTGGTACTCTTAAGTTGAATAGGATTCCCTTAATTTGTTTTTTCAAGCCTTAGTTCAGTGTATACATGTTTTATTTGCAAGAGGTCTTGAGATGATGCCCTGAAATGTGGATGGTGACTGTCCAGATTGCTGTCTGAAAGTAAGTGGACTGTCAATGAGCACAAAGCGGTAATTGGTATTTATTTACTCTAATACTCAAATTCTTATTTTTGTGCTCCATAAAAAGAGAATCAGTGTATAGCAACATAAGAGTGTTCAAATTCTACTTTTGGTGCTATCACAATCAGGCAGCTTCCTTTTAATTTGTTCTTTCTAATAGATCCTTTGAAGGCAGTTCTCAGGAGAATCTTCTTGGGATTATTCCTTCCCTGTGTCTAAAGTATTTTTATTTTAAGTGCATTATGAAGGCAGAGGCATTGTAAGATGAAATTCGGTAACAATTTAAAATCAATCATTCATTCTTAAAGTAAAGGAGGATCTATAGAATGAGTAGACACTGTTCTGAGAAAGGAGTGCCTGAAGAGGATAAAATAAAATCAACCAGAAACAGTGCAGGGGAAGGCTGATGCTTGCTTGCGTGACAAACATTGTGTTTATAAATCTGTTTGCTGAAGCTTTTATGAAATGTGACTTGCATGTGTTTGAATGGTATGTGTGGAAAAACTTAAAAACAATTTGAGATTGGAACTTAAGGTATTATCTTTGTCCATGTATGTGTATCATACTTACTTTCTAGAAGACATTGTATTTCATATTGCTCCTGAGACTGTATGTGTTCATCTGCCTATGTATTTCAAAATTTTGAAGTGTATCAGGTATTACGTATTTATTTACAGGAGATCATGAGAAGTAAATGTAGTGCTGTCATCTTCATGCTAAAGGAAAAATTCCTAAAATGAACATAACTCACCATCTCATTTCATTCCTTTGAAAATCTATTAAATTGCACTAATAATGCTTGATACTCAAATTTTATCTTGGCAGATAGTTTCTAGCAGGACTCTAACAAAACCATTAGTACTTAAAAATGGCAGACCTGCTGGAAGAGGAAGTATTACGGTAAGACAATTAAGACAATAAATCTCTTCAGTGTTTATCCTTAAATGTTTTTATGTGGTGTTTTATTTTAGTTAGTTACTTGAACACAGTGTGTCTGATGTACAGTACTGTAAAAAGTATCTTAAAGCATTTTTTTTCCCCTCCACTAATATTTCTTTGTTACCCAAAAGGAGAGCAGCCCACCTGCATCTGTAAGTCTCATTGCATCCATCAAAATAATTAGGGCATCCAGTGTGCTTCTGTTTGAGCAGTATCTTTAATTGTCAGTGTCGTCATCTAGTGAATCCCAATGTCAAATCAAATTGTTCCTCCTTTTCCGCACCCCTTTTTTTAGTGTTTCATTTGTGAGCAAACATTTTTTTAATGGACTTGTCATAGGAATGTTGTGAATATCAGAAAACTATGTAGTTCCTGAATACAGAATAAGTATTTTATTTTGTTTGCGTATCTAGATTACAGCAGAAGAAGTGAAGGATAACAGGGTGGTTGTGTTGGAAGTAGAAGCAAGGAAACTGGACAATAAGGTATTTAAGTGATGGCTGTTTCTTTGATAAAGTAGTAAAATCAGAGTCTTGTCAAAACAGGAAACATTAAAATGTTTATTCTTATTTTTTGATGAAATCATTAAATCCATTAAGATTTTTCTTACAGTAAAAAAGATATTGAGAAAGATTGCTTCAGAGTAACTTCATTGGCTGTTTTGAAATTAATTATAACATATTTCTGAATAATACAAGTGCATTGCAAGGATAGTCCATGAACAACATGCTTCCATTTAAATGTAAATCTTTTGACATTTAGTCATAAAGATAAGGGAGTTTTTGTATATCCTTTGGTTTGAATAGCTGTATAAATGATTACCTGTTAGCTCTCCGAAATAAATGGTAAAGAGTGTACTTGGAGTGTGTAAATCTGTTATGTTAAATATTTTGGGGCTGGCTAAAATTACTGTATTTAGAAAGCCTTATAAAAACAAAATGAAAAAAAAATTAATAATGGAAAAAATGTTACTATTTTTCCCTGTCAATTTAATGATACATTTTTGAACTGGATGAAATCCTTAGTTTCCTAACTATCCATTGTAGTACTTATTAGTATAAGTATTCTTTTCCTTGAACTGTCAGGTATTTAATATGTGGACACTACAGAACTTTTATCCTAAATTGACGGACGTGCCTCATTTTTTTTCTCTCTTTCAGAGGCAGTAATATAACTGACTTGCATTTCTTCATCTAAAGCTTTTGTTCCCTGAATATTTAGTTTACTTTTTGTTAATCTAAGTGTGTTTTAACTAGCATTTAATGGCATTCATGCCACAGGCTGTTCTGGGGTAATTACGTGTTCTTTAAATACAGGATTTTTTTGGAAAGTCAGATCCTTATCTGGAATTCCACAAGCAGACTGGAGATGGAAACTGGGTGATGGTTCACAGAACAGAGGTAGGATATTTTCAGTCAACAAGCTAGAGATTAAGATTATTTGATTTCCAGGGTGCCACAGCACTAGAGGTACAGTGCCTTAAAAAGAGAAGACAATGGTCTGGTAGTGACCTGCAGACCAGTTAAAAATCACCTCAGCTCTTCCACTGGTTTTCTGATAGAACAGAAAGTCTGCTTTGTTCTGATTTATGCCATTCTATTTTAAAGGAAAATACTTTTTTAAAAAATAACAACTTTCTGCAATCTAGAAGAAAACAAATGTTTTGAAAAGGTACTGCATACTCAAAAGGAAATTTGTCTCAGTGCTACTCTGAGGGTAGAACTTGGGCGTTCCTGTGACTGTGCTGTTCTTATGTCAGTGCCACCTAGCTGTACCGTTTACTAATGGAAGTAATTACACTAAATGCTTGCATAGCAAGGGCAAGCCAAGGATAATGCTGAGTGAGGGAAGTTGTGCTTGAGCAGCAGGAACCTTCCACCCAGGAGGAGGTGCAGAGATCCCGTGGTAGCAACTGATGGGGTGGGTAGGAGTAGGTTCAGAACGCCTCACTGTAGTGGAAGGGCAGACTCTAGTCACAACTGAGGTACTGTGTGCATTTGAAGTGGTGACTGTATTAATTTTGAAGCACGGATGCTGAAGAAGTATACATCCTTTTTGTGTCGGATTTATAAAAATAGTTTCTCTCATGAGGTGGTTCTTCTACATAAGGTGTATCTTTTCCATGAGGATTTTGGTCATCTTCGATTTCAGTAATGAATCCAGAATTTGCTGTTCCAGCCTAGAACTGGCTGGAGGATTAGTTCTGTATGTTACAGATTTTAAAAACTTTTTTATGTTACTAACTATTATTTACTGTTTTCATTTTCAAAAGAGATTTCTTTGCACTCCTACAGTGCTGGAAGTATTAGTATTATTAGGTATTATTAATTAAGTATTGCTTGATGTTGTGCTTCATAAGGTCATTATGATCTTGTGCTTTATAAGGTCATTATTTGGTGTATTGAGTATATTACAGATACTTTCCAGTTGACAAATTCCAAAGATCCTTCAATATTATTCTTAAATAACACTTAGCGTTCAGCTTGAGACACCTTTTATCCTCATGCACTGTTTCTGCTTAACTGTACTATGAATTTCTTGAGGGAATATTTCCATAAGTGGCATTTCAGAATAAATATAAGCTGGAGGGAATTGTAATCTCCAGAGCATTGATGTATTCAGAAATTCCAGTGTAATCTTCTTCCATGTTTTTTTTGTAAGTCACACTTTTATATATGTTTGCGTGTATGTATATATGTGTGTGCTTATTTAAAAAAAAAAACAAAACTGTCAATATTTATGTAAAGATGAATTTGATATTTTGCAGTGTAGTAGCTGAATGCTATAGTAGATTACAATGCAATCTAGAAAAATATGGAGTTGACAGATACTATGTCTTTTGGACAACGGTGTTGCATGTTAAGAATATTTAGTTTGTTTGTATGCTATATGTTAGGATTTGGATTGCAGGAAGTGATTGACAGCAGCATTAGTCAACTATTTTTGCTTACGAAAATAATGGCATGAAGGTATGACTCATTATAATGACTACTTTCCACTCTTGTGAACAATATTATTCTGACTTTCTGTTTTTTATCAGGTCATTAAAAACAACCTGAATCCTGTTTGGAGGCCCTTTAAAATCTCTCTCAATTCTCTGTGTTACAGTGACATGGATAAGTCAATCAAGGTAATGTACATGAAATGTACATGAAATGTGTGTATGAATTAATGCATTAAAAAAATTAGAATATATAATAACAAGTGGAAGATGTGTTATTCTAGTTGCTGCTTCTTTGTTTCAAATTGAATGTAAAGTATTAGGTTTCTTATTCGTATTTGAAAGTCACAGTTATACATGCATGTTTTAGGAAAAAGGAATACATCTCATATTTGTGATGCATTGTCTGATAAAAGTTGGTCTTGGAAAGTCTGGGAAAATAGTTGAACATAAGTAGCTTTGAAATGTCCACTTCAGTTTCTTATTTGGATTGTACTGTTTTAGTGTTGCATCAGCCAATATTGGTGGTGTTAAGATACTGTATAGTGAAAGATGCATGGTAAAGGCTAGAATACGCCTTGTTCTACGTTATGGCTCTTGTAATACTTTGTTACTGGTGCAACAGGTAACACTAATAAAATTCTTAATATACTGCCTCATATAATTAATTACACTTAATATACTAGCTGAGATAACAGATGTGGACTAGATGTATCTTGTGGATACCAAATGTAGCAACTTTTTCTCCTCAGATAAAATTGAACTTTCTGGCAGAAAGTCAACCAAACCTCTGAAGTGATAGTTCTACCAGGACTGATCTTTAACTCTTTGTACCTTCAGATTTTATCTTGAATAAATTATGTTTAACTTTAGAATGTTTTTCTTCAGGAATTCCCTTTAGGGGTGGAATTGAAGCTAAACAACCAATCAAAATGCCATTATAAGATACTGCGAACATGTTAGAAACGTGGTATCTTAGCATTTGAAACACAACAAAATGAAAAGAAACAAACCATTATACTTGCCGTCCTTCCTCTGGGAAGGAAAAAGGAGAATATGGTCTGCATGTGACAGGTATTACTCATATACCTGGAGGCAGTCCTGGAAAATGCTTAGCAGCCACAGGGATCTGGGTGTTCCAAACACCTGTATAGATTTAAATGTGTAATTATAGAGCAGATGAATGAGCAACTTTACAAGCCCAGAACCTGCTTCCCTTACTGCTTCTGTGTTTTTTCCTTCTTATTTCTTTCTGCTTCCCTTTTCCCCAGAATATGTGACAGCTCTTAGATCTCCATATACTGTAAATACATTTCTTTTTTTCAGTAAACAGCCATAGTAAAAATATAGACCATTGATTAAAATGTATCTATGAAGATGGAGTTATTCTCAGCTCTATCATGATTTTAATAAAATCTGTTCTTTGGAATCTTACCTCAGAAGTGTAGGTTTATTTCCAGAGGAAATAGATTTTACGTGGAGTTGTTATGGACTTGCAGACAGACAGTGGGATTATGTCTTAACTTAGAAATCTGGGACCTATCACTTCAAACATTAAAATGCAGACAGAATTGTGTTATAATGTTGTTGAAGGATTAAACAATACTTTTAACACTTTTATATGCGCACAGTTGCATACATAATGGGCTATTTGTCATAGTAAGTAAAACCACCAACTTTTCCATAATGAGTGGCTTTTCACCTATTTAATGGCTTAGTTTGTGTATCGCCAGCAATGCACAAACCAAGTTGATTCTTTATCTTCTGGATTTATTGCTATATTCCATGTGAATGTGTTTGCAGTCAATGAAGTTCTTCTGTGTTGACAATGTGAGCCTTTCATCCGGAGCAAGCATGCCAAGTTCTGCTGGGAAAAATATATATGCAATTTTATCACATGGTTCCCTAGCACTATTGCATGTCCAGGAGAGCATACATGGAACAAGAGAAATATTCCTGTCTTGCCTGGAGTAAGTGTTGAAAATTGGCTTAGATGGGTCAAAGCAAGACAAACTTTGATCCCTTTAAAAGGAAAAAGAAGTAACTGCTAACTGTGAACAGGTATCATAACTGTTGGCTCAGAAAATGTCTTCAGTTTTAAATTTCAGATACTGAAGCACTTGGCTGAGTATTTGATTGGCTTGATTTACGGTATTCAAAAGAATTTACATAGCATCTGCTATGAACATTAGTCTGTTGGTTCTGTGGCTGCTTGCATGAGATTTAAGTTGCTATTCAGTGCACGTGCATGCATTTGTTTATTAGTGCATTCAAAATGTTGTAGGAGTAGTGCTAACCACAGCAGAGGCATGTTCTGCACAGTGTAGAACTTGCAACCTACATGTCATATTTTGTACTTCAACATTACTGTTTGTTTTCAGAAAGTTAATACCTCTCAGAAGCTCAAGTGTATGTTCAAGTTATTTGTTTTACTTTGTTATTCCTAAATGAAGTGGCCAAGTAATCAATTAAATTGTTTCTTGAATATAATGTACGATGTTTCCAGACTGGAAAGATGGACGTGAAAATAGCTGTTCAGTTTAAGCCATATATATTCAGAAGAGTTTTTCTTGAAGTTTATGTTTTGATTTCAAATCATGGGAGATTCCTACTTTAACTCCTGATTTATTATTGTTATTATCATTATTATTAAATTATTTTAATTTGCTTTTCTGTGATTTGATTAAAGTTAGCTAGCATGTCTGTGTTGCTAAACTGAAAAAAAAAAATCAGAATTGGATGGAATTAGCATATGCTATTATAGAAAAATACCCAGCTTTTTATCTAGAAAGGCAGTTGGGTTACATTCATAAGTTGAGCTTTTAAAAAACAAAACCAGAGGACACTATAAGGTCAAAGTAACAGTGGTAAAATTATGCTCACTCAAACTGATAGGTTCTCAAAGAGAAAAAAGTATTTTTCACTTGTTCTGCCTTCTTTGATGGGTTAAGGTGTTAAAAGATGAGTTGATTGAATAGTAAAACTTAGCATTAAACTTTGAATACAGGAAAAGAGGGATTTTTAATTGACGTTCAGATCCATGAAGTGTGCATCATAGTGACTGTTTAAATTTGCTAATCTTAAAAAGAAAATCAAGTCTTGTTTCTAGGTTTAGGGCTAAACCTTCATATCCTTATAAATTCTGCGTTGTCTTGAAGATTAGTAAAATAATATAGAAGTATTAATAAAACTCATAATTGCTGAATAACTGATTTACTAAATTTTTAGCTGGATGCTCAGAGATAGTTAAATTTCCTTCAGACCTCTGAAAAACTAAGTTTATTAATCCATGATGACAGTAAAAAGACCTACATTGTTTCCCTATTCTTCTGACACCTCTTCATTCCCAAAATGTAGTTCAATGTAATTGACGTAACTCACTCATGGAGACCTGACACTGCCTAATATTCTCATCTCCACTTTAGTGGAAGATCTGATCTGAGACTGGGTATGTTGGTTTTTACCCAATCTTAATCTGTAATCCCATCTGTAATTTTTAGATGCAACTGTATGCAATTCTAAGACTGCAACACGGGAAAAACTTGATGATACAAGAGATTTGGGAATGTTTTGGATGTTCAGGTTTGCCTGAACTAGAAATGCCATTGCAGTGTTTATTGCTTTTGTAGGGCCATTTCTGTTACTAACACTGAATAATGCTTTGATTTAGGTTGAGTGCTATGACTATGATAGTGATGGGTCTCATGATCTCATAGGAAGTTTTCAAACTACGATGTCAAAACTGAAGGAAGCATCTCGGTCCTCACCTGTGAGTCTTACATAGCTTAAGCTGCCTGTCTGTTTTTGATAAGCTGTTTTACTCATTTTGTAGCAATACTTATGTCATTGGCTTGCAGGTATCAAAGTTGTGTTAGGCTATGTGTGAACAATGCTACTGTAGTTGAGGCTGACTCAGCATTTATATTATATATTGACTTTCCTAGGATTAATATCTTGGTTATGGTTTTTAGTATTACATATCTAAATACCCAACCATCAGCACAAATGAATTTCGCTAATCATAAAAATACAGAAATCAAAAAATTTCAAGTGTCAAAAGACAGAATGTGGCACAAATTTTACTGCAGTTAAAAGGGCAAAGCTTGTAGTATTGTTTTTCAGGTTTTACTCAGTCCTTTATTTCAAGTATGGCATTTATCAACTATCATGCATACTTTAGTGAATATGAAAATATTTAACATTTATGTGACTGCACAAAAATGCAACTGAATGTGTTATGTTAGGTGACTCTTCTTGAAAGTGAAATTACCCTTCCTGTTCTTATGAACTGTAACAATTTGCAAGCCTTTTAATAGACAAGATTTACATTTAGGAGAAGAAATGTGGCATAGCAACCTTAACATGAAAGTCTTTGTTTTATGGACATGCGTGTTATCAAAATATTTTACCATCCTCTTTTCTGTAAAACCTGCATTAATAATAATGGCATACATATAGAGGAGTGCCTGGTTGTACTTTTCTAACATCTTGAGCGTTGCATTTGTACTGAATTCCTCAGAGCTGTAGAATGTGAAGAGTCAGCCTTGACTGTAGTGATTTTTTTGATTGCTGCTTTGTGCCCTGCCATGCTTTTCTTTTAGATACCTGTTTCTGAATTAATTTTGAGCTATGCATAATTCAGTTCAATGCCTCTTAAGGTTTTACATTATTACTAGGGAGTTTTGGCCTCATATCTTATGCATGTAGTTCACAGACTGCCTAGTTGGAGCTCTTAGGTGTTTTTCTCATATTCCGCAGATTTTCAGGGTCCAGATGGTATCAGTTTAGCTTTCAACGCTGACAGTGATCCTTCTTACTATTGTAATTAAAGGGTGCAAAAAATAAATCGGGGAGCAGGAGGATTTCATAAAATATTTTTTCTGGGATTTTTAATGAAGATTTTACGAATTTTTGAACAAGATGTTTTTCATCTTTTTTTTTTTTTTTTTTAAAAAAGTTGTGCTTTTGTTGTAGAGCAGTATCGTAAATTAAACAAACCTAGCAGGTTTGTATGTTCACATTTACAAGCACTTTTTTTTTTAAAGAACTATGGTAATGAGTTCCCATGCAGTGTGAAGCGTGTTGTGTAGAGGCTCCTTGAGAACACAAATATCTATTTTTTCCTTGCACCCCTAGTAGCATAATAGCTGCAGTCTCTTTTGAACTTAAAGAAAAAGTATTTTAAATTATAATGTGCCTGTGCTGGTTTTGGAAATGCTTTAAGAAAGTTGTTTTCATGAGTACAGTGGCTATACCTACTCTAAGTAACTTACTGCTGTGTCAGTAAGGTGAAGCGAAGGTAAGAGACCACACAAATACTGGACTCCAGGTTTCCTCAACTTTTAAAAGGAATTAACCTCTAATCCTGTGTGATCTGATTAATTTGATAATGTCTGTAAAATATTTCTAGCGCATTAGAATTTGACTTTATATACTCTGAGTGTGATATTTAGTTACTTCCACAATTCTGACATCAGCTGCACCCATGGGAGATTTGACACAACTTCTTTCAAGTTTACTTAAGGCAAGCATGGGTGTGACCGTATACTTAGTTGCTGAGAAAGCTGATCTTGTATGACTGAAGGGAATGGGTGGCTTTTCATTCTCTGGAGAATTGCTGATTTATAGATTCCACCCACCCCCCCCTTCCCTTAAGTTGTATCTTCCCCCCTAAGCATACCATTAGTGAGCTCTGGTTGGAGGATTATAAAACGTAGTTGAGAGATTGTAAATGCTATCTGTCTCATGGCCATTATTAGTAAGTACCCCACTCATCAACATAGTAAAAAAACCAAGTCCCTGAAAGACAATTTCCATCAAATAAAAGTGATGCTGGTGGTGAAATGTCCAAAACAACAAGGTAAACAAGAGGGATGTAGACTTCTCAGGTGCTGACCTTGTTAGTGCATTTTTTCACTTGAGATTAATTGCAAGATCACTTTTTAAAACTCAATTAACTTAAACCAAAGCAGCAGAACCTGTTTCTGGAATACCTCTTCAGACTATTAATACACCAGACACGCTGCATTGTGCCATCGTGACTGTATGATGGCAGGAGCTGCTTAACCTGGCTAGCTGTTGATTGCACTTGGAGGTTAAGGTGTTGGTTTAGTTGATGAAACCTCAACAACTGATTTTGGAAAGCTTAAATATATACCTCTTATTTTGTACGTTGCTGCCACAGCTGCTGGAAACAGTGATGCTTTGCCTGAATCACAATGCCTTTACCAAAAACAAAGTTGTTAGCAGAATCCTCAGGGGGTAAATGGTACAGAATTTCTTTGTCTAGTTGCAATACTGTTGTCTAAACAAACATATTTGTAAGCTTTTGGGTAAGAGAGGATTTCTGTCTTGATAATGAGTTTTTTGTTGCTGATTTTGGGCAGCTGGATTTAATTTTGTTTGATGCTGAAATAAACTGCATTTTTAATACAAGCGCAAAGTATCAGTCCTAGAATAAACAATTTTTGAATTTGTTGCATAAGTTATATTTATAGTGCTTTTGTTGGGTTTGTTTGCATTCGTGCAGGTTGAATTTGAGTGCATCAATGAAAAGAAAAGACAGAAGAAAAAAAGCTATAAAAACTCTGGCATTGTGAGCGTTAAGCACTGTGAGGTCAGTAATATATTCTGGTATGTCTCTTTATTTTTAAGTATTCAGGCATAGCAACTGATCTGCTATGCCTTCACCCTCAAACTGTAAGAAACTTTAAAATGAAAGTTGTAGACACAGTAAATATTTAAGGGCTCTGATTCATATAAGGACACAGACTGACAGGTGAATCACATGTCTGTCCTTCCTTGTCCCCTCACGTTCTCTTGAAGATGCCGTCTGTATGACAAAGGTCACTTACCAATTTATAGGGGTATTCCTGAACCATTGTGTTTCCCAACTCACCATTTTGTGGTGAATTAAAATCTGGTAAGCCTGTCATAATGTGTTGTTTTATAAGTGATAGTGCTTTTGGAGCTGCTTTGTTGTCTGCCTGTAATTTTGTAAAAGACCTGATTCTGATGCACTGAGTGTGTGATGGCACACGCTGTAAGTACCCTCACTGCAGTGGGTGGGTGGGATATCTATAGAGTCAAAGCAGGGCTTTACGTGGGTAAAGACAACAAATCTGGAACCTCAAAAGTTTCTGCAATAATACTTACTGGTTTTCTCCCATTAAAAAAAAATAATTTCTATCTTTAACTTCTATTTTTAGATCATAGTAGAATGCACATTCCTTGATTACATCATGGGTGGGTGTCAGCTGAATTTCACAGTAAGTTAAATCGTTTATATAAAGTAGTGTTTGAGTTTTGGAACAAAATGTAGTATATAATTGATTGCCTGTGCTCTTCATTTGATTATTGTATTGTTTTGTTTGTTTGTTCTGTAGCATGGAGGAGGGAGGCCATTTTGCCAGAGTCCATTTAGTCTGTTTAGAAAAAATTATTTTCCTTACTCATGGCACAAAGTTCTGAACTTGCAGTTATGTTCATTAGGAACTAGCTGAGCTGTGTGGATAGAGACCAAGGAGAAATTTACAGTTCTGTGATTTACTTGAAGCTTCCTTTGCATAAGGGCTTCCTCCCCTCCAAAAATTTAACTTTTGCTGTTGATGATGGTTTTCAAGGCCCTTTACTTAACAAAAGCAACATACAGAAGCCATCATATGGGTTAGGACCCTTAAGTTAAGTACTTCGTGAACCAAATGCAGCACAAATAACAGTAAGATATCTTCACCCTGGTAATATGCCTTATCACCAAAGCAGAGAAGACCCATTGAGGCCAGAGAAAGAACTATCTCTAGGCTTCTGTGGTGTCTGACTAGTCGTACCTCTGAGAGGAAAGATGTATATGGCAAGATACAGGATGAAATTAATTTAACAGCTATTGAAGAGCTGCTGTGGATGGTAACTGAAAGGAAACACAGTGGAAACCTGAAAGATAAAAGCCATTTCAGCCCTTCTGAGAGATGCAGAGCTTCTGCTGTTTTTGTAGTGGCATTGTTTTTAAGCATGTTGATATTCCAAGAAACGTGCATCTAAGCAATGCGCCTGTTAGATTTGTAGATGTCCTGGTAACTACTGTTTACAACTCCATCATGATTGTCACTTTGGGTTTGCTGGAGATAAGAAACATAATTTTACCTCTAACAGCAATTTGATATAAATATTGCATTTTACAGGTGGGGATAGATTTTACAGGCTCCAATGGAGACCCTCGCTCTCCAGACTCTCTGCATTACCTCAGCCCTAATGGAGTCAATGAATACCTAGCAGCCATTTGGTCTGTAGGAATGGTCGTTCAGGATTATGATACGTAAGTTTTACATTTTTATTTAAATTTTGTAGATATATATAGATTTTTGTGGTAGTGTCTTAGAGCAGTGTTGGAGATGCCAGCAGATTTATCAGAACGAAACATCTGAGCTGAAGTGTAGAGCTAAAAAAGACTTTGTAATCACTGCACAATCACATAATCACAAGTAGAAGCTTGTGTTTACAGAAGACATGCAAGGCTTTTCATCTGTGATGTACAGAGCAGCGTTAATTTAAATAAATGCTTGCATTCTTGCAGATTGGTGGTAAAGACTGGGTTTGGTCCTAGAAACAATTACAGGGGGGGAACTTCCATTTAATTTTGCCTCTTAATGCTTAATAAACAGCATTTTTAATGATCAAGAGCAGCACTGATTAGCTAAACTTGCTGAACTATGACAGCTTTTAAAGGAAGGCATTCACTTCATTTTCTTTAAAATTGCTTTTTTAGAGATAAGATGTTTCCAGCCTTTGGATTTGGTGCACAAATTCCTCCTTCCTTTCAGGTAATGGAATATGTAAATACACTACATAAGACAACTAAAAGCACTTACTTCAGGAGGAGATTGTATGTACAGTCCTGACTATGTCTTTTGTGTATTGACAGGTGTCACATGAGTTCCCGTTAAATTTTAACCCATCAAACCCATTCTGTAATGGTAAGTCTGAGAAAGTAACGTAAGACCTAGAGGATAAAATGTCTAAGGTGAAGAGATAAAAACACTTGAAAAGTGAACTGTGAAGCATGTTGTCCTAATTAAATAATGAGTTTAGTCCTGTAGCAGGAAACAATTTTGTAACTCTTCTTAGTTATTAGAAATAGTAGAAATAGCATTTGGTCTCTCTTCTGTAATGATTTGTGAAAGAAGTGATTTAAACGGCTAGGGCACAGTATGGGTAAGCTGGGAACGGTTCTTCCGTGTTGTCAAGCCACTGTATAGTTGTGGAGTTGTCTTCTTTGAGTATGGTGCTGCTAGTGCCTGTTCAACATGGCCTCTCTGATCACACTACTGTTTACCACACGCTGCCAGGCAAAGAGAACTGTTGTAATTTGGTTACGTGCACTTCAGCATGCAGTATTTGGCTTTTCTGTTTGCGTGAAGCCAAGCACGTTAAGCGTATGCATTAAGCTTTGGTCAAGCTGAAGGCCTCCATTGCTCGTGAATCATTTATTTTTTTTGCACCATGGCTAGTTTAAAATCTTTGCATCATCACTTTAAATAACTGATATATACAGTGTTTTAGGAAGATGAGTGCTTCAAAATACCTGAATTCTAATACGAAAAAACTAATATGATCTATTTGTGTTCTGTAGGAATCCAAGGTATTGTTGATGCATATCGGGCTTGTCTTCCTCAAGTGAGGTTATATGGGCCGACAAATTTTTCTCCAATTATAAATCATGTGGCAAGATTTGCTGCTGCAGCTACGCAACAGCAAACAGCATCTGTAAGTTCTTTATGGTAGTGTGTGTATTTTTCTTTCTTTTTTCTTTCCCTTCTAGTTTATAAATACTATTTTTCTCTCTTAAGCTTGTAAGTGTGCTTGTTTGAACAGATGGCCATTTACCTTGTGAATTGGTGTTTGGTATCCTTAAAACGAGATAAAAGCTAACTGATTTTTGCAGATTGTACACAACAATTCTCTTCTAAATCATCTAAAAACTATTCAGAGTTGAAATAACAACTTAAAAATACATGGCACCTTTATGATATCTTCTATTCGAAGCTCTTGCAGTGCTATACAGGTGTTAAAGTCTAATTTAAGCCGTAGCATATAGGAAAATGATTTAACCTTAGCTGAGAAAAATCAGCTAGCGCTTGTTTCACATCAGATAGCTGAGAGAGAGAATTAAGTTAAGGTAACAAAGAGAAGGAAGATATAGCTCCTGACACCTGGGTACCAACATAGATAATTAGCTGTCCATACTATAAAGCTTTGAGTGCTGTATGTGCTGTGCCCTCCTCCCGACAAAAATTGTATGCGTGAGTTGTTACCATATTAAGAAACAGGAAGTCTGAAGAGCAAATCTCAAGTATTGAATTATTTAGATAATAATCCATGCAAGTTCAGCAACGCTGAAGTCATATATATCCTAAATCATTGATGATAGCAACTACTAGTATCTCAGACATCATGTAAAATCAGAAAATAAAATTAGCTGGTTTTGCATATGAAAGTACCTGTGGAAAGCAATTTGGAAAAGAGCTGTGGATTTTCATATACCAAGAGGTTTATAAGGTTTTGCCTTGGTAGTCTTTCAGTAGTAGTTGTCATCAATATATATGTATTAGGAAAGTAGCAAAACCTCTTGTACTTTTTTTTTTTCCCTGAGAGTGCAATATGCCTAGCAAGAGATTTATTTTTTCTGCTTCAAAGGATGTATTGAAGAAATTTTGCTGCCTTGCCATTTAATGCATATTGTAGATATTTTGGGTTCGCTTTTGGTTTTGATGTTGGTTTTTTTCCCAGTATGGGGGAAGTATAGGAAGAGAGAAATAAATCCAATGTGATGTGCTGTTGTGCTGCTAGTCATAGCCTTCTCTGATTATGGTTGCTTTGTAGACATTCTTGCCAGAGTGGGGTAGCAGAGTGGTGGGGAGCAATGATGAAAGGTGATACCTGAACGCAGGAGATAAGGGAAAGCCAATTATTTTGAAGGCAGATAAGGGAAGACGGGAAGCAAAGTACTGAAGACGACGACTTCTAAGAATACTGGGAGTACCTTTGGAACTTGAATTTGTGCTGTCCAGTGATTGTCTGAAATGAACCAAGTGAGAGAAGACCGGAAGTTCAAAAAGTGTTTTGATAGTTTCTGAACTTTGTACTTCTAGCTTGTTCTTGATACTTCAATCCAGAACAGAGGCTAAGATGGCAACTTTTAGAAGCCCTGGCAATATAGTGGAAGCAACTCAAGTGGTACTTGAATAAATTACCAAAGTACTGCAAGGTGGTCTCAGATGCCTTGGTAATTAACTTCATAAAGCAGCTAGAAAACACGATTAAAGGAATTTGAAAATGGGCATGCTGTTTTTCAGCATGAAAAGATGTGTTTTAACCTATATTTAGGATTTTAGAGATACCTGAAAAAATGGCAGCCTGTTCCATTACCCTTGGTAGCAGTCTTTTGTTCATCCGTTCTTAACGAAATGAAGCGAAGGTTAGCATTTTATAAAGGTATTGCTAGACCAGAAGGGAAACAAATACAAGTTTCACAGGTGTTACCTGTCCAAAACCTCAATAAACTGCCTTCTATCCCAGGACAAATACTTGGAAGATAGGTTGACTGTTGGTTTGTCTGGGGATTTTGGAGAGGAGAAGAGTGATACCACTAGGTATTTGGGAGCTGGCTGTTTAAAGGTGACTTCTTTTAAAAGATTGATAATGTTGTCCTTATAAATTTCTTCAGACTGTACAGTTGAAGCCTGACCACAACTTAAATCTTTGATTGTAAAATTTAGTGAGTGCATTGAACATGCTCTAAGTGACAACAATATGTAGTCTGTATGTGCATTTTTCTAAGTGTACATGCCTACGTGTTTTCTATTTCTTTGTCATAACACAGTGTTTATTGATTTGACAGCAATACTTTGTACTTCTGATCATAACGGATGGTGTGATAACAGACCTTGATCAAACTCGAACTGCCATAGTTAATGCTTCGAAGTTGCCCATGTCCATTATCATTGTTGGTGTTGGAGGAGCAGACTTCGATGCTATGGAGTTTCTTGATGGTGACAATGGAGTTCTTAGATCCTCGTCTGGAGAACCAGCTGTCAGAGACATTGTCCAGTTTGTGCCGTTCAGGAAGTTCCAAAATGTAAGTTATCTTAATTGTATGCTTAATAAATATTGTAGAGGTATGCTGGGTTTGCTAGGATACCCTACGTATAGTCCTAATCTTTTACAGTGTGTCTAAAATGAACTCTGAAGTCTGAGGTAAATCTTTATCAAATGCTAAAAAAAAAAAAGACAGAAGACTTCAGCCTCTGTAGAACTTCCATTAGATGAGCTGATTCATGTTTTTAAAAAGACTCCATTTCTGGTTTCAGCACTGCATTTCTGACAGGTTGCTGCAGGGGAATGACTGTTAAATCTCCCTCAGACTTGATTAAACAAATGGATGTGTTTTTCATTTGGGAGGAAGAACTTACTGGTTTTTTTCCTTATGGTAAAGTGTTTTTTATTATGGATGCCCATTTGTAAATGTGGATGAGTCTTACATTTTAGTGCAATGTTAAAATTCAAGGCTAAATCAGGGAGGTTGTAATCAGTAGAAATTGTGTGTGGGCACGACAGTGGTAGTAGTTTTCATTTTCATTAAAGCAAACATACCAAAAAAAAAGGTGGTGAAAGAATTGAGTCCTGATATTTTATTTTTTTTTCCTGTAGAACCCAATAAAATTTGCACAGGCTAAAATAGTTTGACTTTTAAATGTCGTATAACTGGAAAAAGTTAATTAAAAAAAAAAAAGGGCAAAATTTCCTCAGGATGGGGAAGATAAGATCAGTATTTTTATTTCCATCCTAATATGCTCTAATTTGGTTTTAATATTAACCCTGTTAATTATCATTAATAATAAATTAATAATTAATATTAACCCTGTTAATAGTACTCCTTATACCTTCTTATTTTGCCTTTGTATTTTTATTTTTACTTTTGATGCAAGTTCTTTGTTTAATCTCAGAGCAAATCAGGCAAACTGAAAGGAGAAAGAGAGCAAAATCAATATAGAAGATGCTTACTGAATAAATGCACTTGGATGTAGATTAACTGGGGTCAATATTCAGTATACAATTATATATTCAAATGCTTTCAGTTTCTAGAAAAGGGGGTGCTTTTTTCCCACGGATACTTAGTCTCACAGTAAAAACAGTATCTCTAGGAGAGCTGCTCTGTAGCAATACACTTATCGAGGATAAGACTTGGTGCAAAAGTTTGCAGATGTTTAGACAAGGCCCTGAAGGGTCATCTTAAGCAGATCGTAGAAGTGTATTTACATGGCTGAAGTTTGACATCTGCACGCTGTGTGTGTGTTTCTCATGATGAAAGGTGTCTTCAGACACCGCACCCTTTGCGCACCCAGCTCCTATTATTTCAGTGGAACAAGGCAGCTGGCTGGTAATGGGAGCGAGAAGGTAAAGATGTTGGGGAAGGTTCCATCTGTCCCACACGGGCACTGTGTAAAGTCCTTTGTAGAATGTCAGACCTTAAATTGGCCTAGTAGAGGAGGTGCTCATTACCCATCTTAGGATCTCTGTTAACGATTGGTGGAAACTGAAACTTGGCGTTCTTTTTTTATAAGTCTCCAAAAGAAGCTCTGGCGCAGTGTGTCCTGGCAGAAGTCCCGCAGCAAGTGGTGAACTACTTCAGCACCTACAAACTGCAACCTCCTAAGAATCCTGCTGCAAAGTGAATGGGCTGAGCAGGGGAGCTGAGACTTTGTGCTTGCTTTACTTGCTGTATCTATAGACTTTGGTTCTCGAGATACTTCTGTATACATGTATACACACACCTCTGTACGGTAATGTCTGTTAGCTTTTGCCTGCAAATCACTGTGCCAAGTGTGCCTTTTAAGGGCCAAAATTGTAATTGTGTTAATATCTGATGTTGATTTGAGAGATAGGGCTTACATGCGTGCATTTTATTTTGAAAAGTAAGAGTCAAAAAAAAGTGGTTGAATATGCAGAGAGAAGGGGGAGAACGGCTGGACGTGGAACAGCTGCTTGTGTGGTTCATAGGGCCAGTGGGAGTGGTCGGTTACTTTTGTAGGGATCAGCCCCGGGGACTGCAGTTTCTCAGTGATCATAAAACCAGTCTGAAGTGAAAAAGAGGGTATATCCCCACCAAGCAGATAAAAGTTTGTATCTGCTTCAGCAAATCTGGAATACTTCAGGCTTCTGTGTCTACTAAGCCATTGAAACAAAATGTCTCACAGGAGTTTCGTAATTAGACAAGTGCTAGGGCAGAGCATGAAGACCCTCCTTGCCACACCTACTTCACGTTTGCCACGTCAGTGCCTTTGGCCAGTGCCTGAGATTCAGGGCTGTGTGAACATGAGCCAAACAAGTCTTTAAAGTATATATTCTTTTATAGTGTGCTTTCTCTTAAGGTAGTACAGGAATAACTAGGGTGAATCAAGGTAAACCTGTGACATCTCAGATGAATACTATTGGCCTTTGAGGCTACTACTGTAAAGGCTGAAAGATGTGTTTCAGTGTGTGCTGCGCTGGAAAATGGGAATTCCAGATTTTATTTTGGTTGGGGTTTTGTTTTGGTTTGGTTTTCCTCCCCATAAAACATTCATGACTATTGATCTTTAAAGGGCTTTTTGTGAAGTGGGAATTCACTTTTTAGTTAAAAAGTTCTGTCTGATTTATGACTGCATATTTTCAAGCAAAGGCAGTTCTTGAAAGTGCTACCTGCATTGATTTT